ATGACAATTGAACATAAATATTTATTGTAATGCACACATTTTTCCAATTCTTGATACACATTTCTATCAGATTTCTGATTCACACACAACATAGCATCTTTCATTACATTTTACTTTCTTAAAATATTGCAGTAGTGATGTATTTCTTACATTTTCAGGAAAATTAGGGAAGACTTTGGTATGGCATAAAATACAGTGATCTTGTACACAACACAAAAAGGAGTTGTATTTAAAACATCAAGATCTATCAGTAACTTAAAGGCTTCTGTAACAATTCTAAATACATAACACAACAGATTTAGTTAAATACATTGAACCTACACCAAGATAAGAATTTGATAAAATTTTTCTGTTACATACTGAATGTAACAAAATACATTCCATCTAATTTCCATTTCTTGCTGGTAAATTCTAGAAAACATTTCATTTGTATTTTCCTTTAAGACTACTTACCTGTTATAATACACAATACCTTTATCTGGATTTTTCATAAAAATTGTATTCCAATATAAAATAATCTAGCTATCTAATGGATATAAGGTATAATAAAACATCTAAATTACTTATTGCTTCTATCTGTCTTTACTTTTTATTCCAATTCTTAAAATAGAACGAGGAAACAATACAGGAAAAATCCCATTCATACGGCTGTATTATAGTACCCTAATGTAAATGTGATAAAATGTCCATCATCCACACACAGGACTCCATGCAGTACAGTATCTACATTTTACTAAACAAGAACTTTGTTATAAATCTCAGTGGCACCTGAGTTTCTGCAACATTTGGACCATTGACTATTTGATGACACCAGAATGAAATTAACTGGGTCAGCAGTAAAGCACTATACAAAAGAAATTCCTACTCTTTCCTATAGTTGCAGAGAACAATCAAGTCGTAAATTAACCACAAATCATACAAACCAGGAAACAAAGTTCATGTTCCCTTGGAGAGTGGGAAGGCATTTCTCTGGGATAAAAACTCATTAAAAATTATTTGTTCAGTTTCTCACATTTTTGTACTACCAACCAAATGGTTTCTCCACCCACACTCCACTGTACCAGGCTTTATAATAATACACCTTTGGTTACGAACATGAAATGTCAAAAGGAACTGCAGTGTACCTTCATAAGGTTTAGGTATAAACATACACAACCATAGCCATTCAATTAATTTAAAAACTCGGAAACTTTAGAATCAACTGAAACATGCACACATCTTTTATATGGATGTTTTCTATTTATTTTGTCCACAGACACAGTACAAAAAAAAGTATAGGCCATGATGCATATCTACATAATCTTAAGAATCCTCATCATGTAGGTACTGGGTACTTTCTTTGACAGGCAAATAAAATTTTCTTTTAGAAACTAATAAAATTGTTAGGAAAATAATGGTCAATATAAACCCAAACACCAGACTTTATAATTATACAGAAATACAAGTTAAATAAATAAAGTGGATAAGTAAGGAAAGAGGAAAATAAAAAGAATGTAAGAAAATAAGGTAAGGACATATACCAATAACAAAAGTCAAGAAGAGTAACAAATTGAAATATATACATACATAGAAAACATATACGTTTAATATTTCCACAGGATATTGCAAAATTTCTCCAACCTAATATGTATTAAATTATTTCACATCAAAAGAAATGTACATTACACTCACATACGACTCAAAGCCCAAGTCCTGCAAGATATTCGCTTGAGTATTTAATTCAACATATTTCAATACCAGGAGCTAAGGGCACGTATTTCCTACCAATTTACAACAAACTTTCTGTATATAATTAAATAAAACATATCTATAATCCTGAAGTAAAAATAGTGAAAACATGTATGCATCTAGATACATTCTCACACACACTCATTCTTATCACACACACGTATATACATACAATAACATATACAACAAGTGCAACCAGGGAGATGCCGTTCTACACAACTAAACAGTTAAGGTGATGTGGGAGAGCATCCCTACAAACACTGAGGCCAGAGGATTTTCAATTTCATACACTGATATTTTTGTAACTAATTTGAAGACAAGGAAATACAGATGCATGCCTTCATTTTAACATTATCCAGATATGTGCTGCAGTATGCATCACTTATTTCATTGTTATGACATACAAAATTAGGCAATGTTTATTACATGATGCACAATTTACTACTTTACCAGAAAGATCTTCACTATAAAACTGTACATATGAAAGTAAAAAATAGTACAAAACAATGACGTTTTACAAGTCTATTGCTTTTACACAATTGAGAATGTGAAATTCTACTGATTTCATAAATGCTGTCGGATAAGTAATTTTTCTAACTGAAAAGTGTTTTAGAATGAAATGCTACCATGTTTTATCAAACAACAAAGGCAATCATTTCTTGATGTGTACAATGGAAAATTTGCATTTAACAACAATGTCCATTGTTAACCCTAGAATGGCTTGTGTATACAATAATGCAGCAGGAACTTTGAATATATTGTACAAGAAGAGTATTGAAGTTATTCACCAATAAAACTGTTACATACACACACTCTAAAGCTATGTCAAATTGAACCTGTCCTTCAAATAATTAGTTTTGGCACCAAAAACAACTTAATCTCTCAAATAGAGATTAATTTAATTCAGTGATTTTGAACTTCTCACATTTTCAAATACATTTCAGCGAAGACCACACATTGAATATTAACCAGTAATTTTTGTTTCAAAGCTCTAATTTTAAGCAGGCAAGATGATTTTCGCACAGGTATTTTCTTGAAAATAAAGAAGAGGATGGGAAAAGATGATAGAAGTCACTAGAAAAATGAACTCTAACACAAATAAAATCCCATGTAACAGTTTTGAAGGGAACTTTTTTAGTTGTTTTGTGAAATAAGGATATTGAATTTCCTGCACATCTAGCAAAAAGCAACATATTATCTCGCTCTAGTTCTTGTCTTGTAATGCACCGAGTCAAAAAGTAAAAAAATAATTTAAAAAAAGCAGAATATATTTCAATGACAGCTTTCGCATTCCTCTGTATTCACACACTCACAAATTCTATATTAAATATGGGAATTCCAATAAAATGTCAGAGAGCCATTCATTTTCTTCAAATCTCAAATATGTACACTCCAACACAAATTTAAATCAAAAATCCGACACCATCTCGATAATTTATAATTATCCAATCCTTCTGGTTGACATAAATTGCCTTTAGGCATTATCATAATTCTTCTCGGTCATGAATTCTTTCTAACATTTACAATTGACATTTGTCAATAAAAAATTCTGTATTTTTGACATTTGACTTGTTACCTGACATACATCTCGAAAAGGACAACACCAAGAGTAATGCTATACCGAATTACCCAAAGGAAGGGTTAAAGAATGGTTCACTACCACTCAAGGACACATCACAAATGCCCACTTCGTACTCTGACATCAAAATGCAACAACCACATGAATGCCAAAGAATTGCATTTTCCCCTTTCATATTATTTTTGAAAGAACACAACAAGCACCATTCTAGAGTTAAAAAGACTATCGGATTTATTCCACCCCCCGATATAGCTTGAAGAAAACTTACTTAACAAACTTCTAAATTTACTACAGTAAGTCTTCATAACACCAATTACCTATTTATGCAATTGAATTGTGAGTTTCCAGCAATAAATTCTCACATAACAAGAAAACATTATTTCACAGTGAAGAGTTACACTCTTTCTATAACTTATTCCAAAAAAAGAAAAAAATTGCAACACATATACTGGAAAAAAATCAATGTGAGAATACTTCCTTAAAAACTTCATATACAAGTCCCTTATTTCACAATTTTGAAATCCATTTGTGACAAAATTACAGGAACATGTAATGTTTTATATGTTACATTACAAAATAGTTTAACATTAAACACAGATAATATACTGAAGATATAAATATAAATAAATTTAGCAGTTACATCATTTATGAAAGTTACTTCAAGAGGAATAAAGGTTATGTGATACATCAGGATATACTATGAAAAACTTGAGATCAGTGGATGGGGAGGCATCAGTGCAGAAACCACACCATTTCTGCACTGCAATATAATAGCAGATATTTCCCATCAAAATAAAATGAACTGGTTTCACACTATTTTTAAAAGATTTTTTCAAAAAGCAACTTCTGCTCTGTGTAGTCCAATTCACTGAAAGATTGAACATATTATTGCAGGGCTCCTTTTCTGGCAGAATTAACTAGTTAGACTTTGTAACCTATAGAGGTCCATTACGTTGACCCAGACATCAATATGGCTGGCAAATAATTAACTTGCTACTAGAAAATCACATATTCTTCGTAAGTCAGTGTACATTGAAATGTTACTTTTGTGGAAGATTTAATATGTTGATATAAATTTTATATTCCAGAAGAAAAGCTCTGAATGAATAAAACATACCAATTTAAATTAACATTTTAGCTTCAAGGAGGCAAAGGAGGGTCATAGAAATATTAGTGGATGAGAAATCTGTGCATCACTTTATGTGCAAGTCTCAATGCATAGACAGATAAGTGAATATACATGGCCTTTACAGATCCTTTTATTTTTCACTATATGACATTAACATAAGCATAACAGTATAATGAATGGTGGTTTCATAAATGTACATTAAATAGACCTGGAACACCAATATAACAATGGGAGGTGTTCCAGACATTGTACTTGAGTGATAAAGATGGGCTTGCAATTTACCACAAAACTCAGGGCAGGTGTGTGCAATATTGAGATGACAGGACAGATTTTTTTCTGGCAAACACAAATAGTGACTATTTTACTCTACATTCATATTGTACTACACTTGCGGAAAGCTGTCTAAATGATTCCCCTGTACTTTCACCAAATGCCACAACCACTTAATATAGAAACGTCCTATTTCTTACCAGTGGAAGTCATAATAAGGGAACAAAATTTTAAAAAAATTAATAATGATAGGAAGGAAATAAAAAAAGGAATACCACCTACCCATCATATAATGCTGAAAACTGAAATATTGTACTGAATTTCCCCGAATAAATATTTATATGGAGAGTACGCACATGTCAGAGGCATAAAATTCCAACAACTGGCAGAAAACCCCATGTTAAAAACATAAGGGGTTTAACAGAAGTTACATAACACAAAACAAAACAAATTGCCAGTCATACTCATATTCTTTAAAGTAAACAAACGATAAATTATTAATATAAATTGTTTACAGTTATTTATTATACTATCTCCTCCAGGGACTACGCAACCACATGAAAGGTGTGAGCAATAGCTACAGTTTTTGTGCAGACCTTGCGTAATAAATTATAACAGGAACTGCAATTATTCCACAGGGGAGGTAGCACAAAACTTTAAGTAGAGTGCACAGCAATGTTTACCCAGACAAAACTAACACAATTTTAGGCATTTTTTTGTCATTAATTTTACAAGAAATATAAGAAATTCACGAGTCCAAGCGTGGTGACTCGAATTATTAAATTAAAAAAACAAAATTATTTGCCTGCTGATAAAACTATCAGAGTCCATTCCATTAACGATATATTGCTAAAATCAATTACTCTGTATCCTGATGCCAAAGACCTGCATTGAACATCAAAGTAATAGAATATTACGACACCATTTTTCTGTAAGTGAAACTGTCAAATTAAGAGAGACAAAGGTTTCCGAAAACATACAAAATGGAATATTAAAAAAGACAAACAAAAATAAAATAGTATCATTTAGGTGCCTGAATATTACAATAGTCCGTTGAATGAAACAATTACTACATAACAAGATAATAAGGTCTTATTTCAGGTAGCAGCACTGCGACTTGAAAAGCGTGTAATTTCATCAAAAACATTCTTCTAGAAATATTAATAACCAATAATAAAATACGAGATGTTTGTATTTTGTCATTGCAACAGTAAAGAAACAAAAATGTTAATTTAAAATATCACAGCTTGAATTTGAATACACAAGTGTATTGAGTTATGTTCAATTTTCAGCATTATAGTCTAAGGGTTGTGGAAGACAGTAAATTACAACTGCCTTGCAACTTTGGAAGTTTCTATTCTTTTCACTTTTTTCAGAATATGGAAGAGAAAGGTCTGCTAATAAGATCCGTTACAAAACTAGCCTCCACTGATTAAGTTCCCAGTATGGTCCAAGCTCAGAAAATGATGCACACCCCTGACTTATGAAAAGCCATTTCATGGCAACACGAGGCCAAATTGTCTGTTGTTTAATAAAATATACAATGCACTGGACTGCAATGTAGTCAACAATAAGCATTGATACAGTGGTATTCTATTCCTCTTTACTTCTCAATGAGTTTTTGAGGTAGAAGGGTGCATTTCTGGTACCGTCTCACCTATTCATGTTCCATGCCAATTTTTATATTACTTTCTATAAATCTACAGAGACTTAAAGATCTTATATAAAGAGAAGATCATTAATAGCACTGATTGCAGTGCAGGATATAAATAGAAAGTAAGTTCCTACTGGCCTTATCATGTTCTCCGGTCTTGATAATATAAAGAATTGGAAGACCAGGAACAATTTGGATATTGCTTCATCTGACACTCTTATTGAATTTTCTGAATATGTAAATTCTGTTGTGTCCCCCCTTAACTTTAGAATTTACATTACACACAATGTACATGGTAATTCTCAATGATTTAAGTAATGAATAAGCACCCATTCTAAGTACTCAGATAGCTATATCCATTCATAGAACTGATTTTAGATGTTTATGTAGCAGGACTAGAGGAGGTAATAGATTGCATCAAATATTGATTCACATTGCAAAAAAGTAGGGTCCATTATTGGCAAAGAAGTACCAAAGTTGCAAACCATATCTTTTACCTCAAAACTTGTGAGTATCCTTCTGCAACTTCCAATATTTTAATAGAAAATCATATGGAAGGGTAAGTGCGACTTACATCCATGAGCCAGAACCACAATTTACAAATCCAATGGCAGAACTTAAATCAATTCAACAGTTCAAACAAGGTTACCTTAAAGCAGTGATTCTCAACCCAAGTTTTCTATAAGAATCTCTCAACTGGCAGAGTATAGAGATTTTTCAGCAAACTGTTGAACGAGAAATTACTGTTTAAATAGAGAGAGAGAGAGAGACTCTACCCTTAATTCTAATACAAATATTGGAGTAAAAAAATCTTTTTCAATTTTCAATATTTATTTCATCCAACTGCACGATGTTCTGGTTCAGACATTCATGCACTCGCTAAAGGATTATTGTACAAAAACTGATGGTGTATTTCCAAATGTTAACGATTTGAAAATCATATATTACAAATTTGTCTGTTGAAATTGAGTTGGGTACTTCAGTTTGCCGGCAAATTTACGTAAATCAACCGTGTTAAGAACCACTGCTTTTTAGGAACAATATTAACTTTAAGAACAAATTTCTAATCTTTTGAGCTACAAATATTTTGTCAAAAAATCCAGGAGATTAAAAAAAATAACAAGAATTTTAACAAACTGATATTAAATCACTAACCAAACAAATTTTTCAAAATCCAAACAGTTCTGTACATCTAGTTTACAAAGAATTTGGTTATCACAAGAACTACTGTGCAGTAATAATGTGTGTATATTGATTTTTCTTCCATATGAAGGAGCCAGGTACGAAGTCCTCAATTGCAGTTATTGCACCTCTTCTAAATTATACATATTCTGCTTTTATATGGAAATGCTATGCCTACTAATCATGGAAGAGAATTATAAATTTGACAACAAATAAAAATGTTTCCAATGTCCACTATAAAATGTTAAAAGATGATAACTTAAAATGACTGACATTGAAAGCACCACCACAGAGCCCTGGGAACTTGTCAAAATATAAGTACCAAATGTTTTGTGAAATCAATAAAATACAACTAATAAGGAAATAATAACATAAAACAAACAAAACAGCAAACATGACCTTAGGCCAACCATATATTAACACTGAAATAAATGATCCATAGCACTTGGAATATCCACAAAAGACAGTTCTTATAAAACAGTGGAATTCTAGGATGCCTATAGTTGCACACGCCCAAGAGACGCACTTACCCCACCGTATCGGGCATGAGTACACTGACATACAATATCCAAAGTCTCTGAGGCTTTTTAGACCACAAATTAATAGAGCTGATTACAATACACATTATATTTAAAAGTTGCTCATTTCTGGCATTACAAATGTTGAAGTGATATGTAAGGCAGTGCTAATGTAACTCCTTTGGATGATGTACACAGCCCCTTGACTTCTCCATTAATTTTCCCCTCTTGCTCTCTCTTGGTTGACCAGTGCTTGAGGAAATGCCAGTGAACTGATGTGCACTTGCACCAATTCACACTAACAAGGAACATTCACTTCCTCAACAGTTTCACAACAACTTCATCTCAACTGTATCGCCCAGCACAGACAACATTTGCCCTAGATGCTACAACCTGCATCCATACTGCACATGACTAACCACATCTGCATGTTCATATAGAGATCTGTATAATATATATATTTGCATGTATTTATGTGTATGTAGTATTATAATATATGTATGTACATACGTATGTATGTGTACATGCATGCAAATTGTCAATGACAACTGCACTCAATTATTTCAACTGTAAACACACTGTACCATACACAACCAAGAAATCGAAATCACCAATCCACGCTCCCCGCAGAGCGAAACCAAAAATATAAAAAGTCATCCATCCATTATATAGCAGTTCTGTGATGCTAATTTGCTAAAATTGGTTGCTATTAACCGAGTCTTTTGAAACGTGCACAGATGTCACATAGTGAGACGGTATAAGCCTCTGTACTATGTAAACTCAGAGCTGAACTGTTCTTCCTCGGAAAGAATTAAAATTAATACGACATACAACATGTACAAGCATGGAACACACATGATGTGAGAAAATAATATAAACATACTGATGAGGACATGATTCATTCATGTTTCACACTTCTCACGTCCCTCTGCGGAGTGCACCATTACAGTTGGTTGGCTGTTCTCCACAGGCTGAGGTAGGAAGGAGTACCAACAGAATTCTTTACGTGCATTCACTATGATAATCTAGCACGCTTGTGTGATGGAGTCAGAATATCACCTTCATCATCTTCCTCCTCGTCCGAGTCCCCTTCATAATCTACAAGTGCCTAGAGTGAAAAATACAAAGAAATATTCAATAAAAATGATAACTCACCAATCAAAAAAATCCAGAAAATTATATATGTAAAAAGAATTTTACTTAAGTGAATACAACAAAAGCTCATTGATAGGTAAAAATAACAAAAATGATCTGAGAGGTTTACATTCTTTTAGCCTCTGAATTACAAATACTTTTAATAACAAATTTATTGGGATTATAAATGAATAACTGAATCGAATTAACCACTATGAAATACTAACAACTTTTTTTTTTAATTTCAGATTTCATTTGAAAGGATGGTTCAGGATTCATAAGAAATGGACCTATTTATTTTCTGAGATTTGAATAACCCATATTTCATTTTGCCAATTTTATATTTTGAGGGAGGTAAACTTAATTTGTATCCTGAAAATTGTATTAAATATAAGACCTGTTTTATTGCACTAATTTTCTTTGTATTACAATTTCACATAAACAATGAAAGGAATAGTGAAGTCTCCATGGAATAGTTAACTCTGTAATGAAGCTCTAAAAGGATCATGTTTCTTTTATTTTCTTGCCTTTATGATGCTCAATTTTTATACAATACACAGAAGCCCTAATAAGTTTATTTCAACAGACCTCCACACTCCTACAAAATTGCCAGGTTTATAGAAATCTGGATGGATAATGAAGTCTGGAAGATATTCAAGTCAAGTTCATGTCATGTTCATGTCAAGTCAAAGTTCTTTTGTTTTTTTTCACAACACAAGAAAGTATCAATACTTTTACTCATACGTAACAGTTTGAATAATGTAAAAGTTTCAACTTTCCACATTACTTGAGTATAGATTATTACTTGAATTAATTGTTGAGTGTAACATATTAACACGGACTTGGGCACACTCCCACAAAAATAATTAAATAAGGAAAATATGAACGTATTAAACTTTCGAACCCAATGACCATGCAACTGTATTAAAAATGACAAAATCAAGTATTGTCAATAATTGTATTTTTGTAATTAATAGGAAATAGGGTTTGTTTATTTTTGCACAATATTTCGATAGATGGGAAAGAATTGCAGACAAACTTCATCCAAAGAAGAAAGTTGCTCATATTTCTTATTTCTCATATTACAAGTACTTCCAAAGTAGGAGGAAGTTATGTAATGGCAGCATGAGAAAGTGCTGACGTTTCAATAGAAAAACATTTCTTGGGGTCATGATCACACAAAACAGTGGATTTTACATGATCCTAAATTAGTATATCATCTTCCTACATAATTATATCCCAAAAGGAAGACGAAGTTGTTGGGCAAATACCAAAGAGATGGAAAGATCATAAGTGCAGACAACATTGCCCAAGCAAGATGATGATGGCGAAAAGGGAGAAGAAGAAGAGTCTGTCTGTCTGTCTGTCTGTGTGTGTGTGCCTGCCTGCCTGTCTGTTCAACAACACTATACCCCACATTAAATAGCCATGTAATAAAAATCAATTTTACTTATTATGTGGGTTTTATTAATACGTGGTGTGCTGGGATTCAACCAATTTAATGGAGAGATTTGTTAGCAATAGTTGAAATATTAGAAGTACCAATCATGATTTTACATCACTATTACAAATGTGAGCAATATTGGAGCACTACTTTTGTTTCATAAAAATGTAAGAATACAGAATACTCTGTATTCAATGGCAGAGAGCCATTTTCATTTACACTTTAATTTCAAAAAATTAACAATTATAATTTTTTTCTTCTTCAAATTTCTTGTGTTGCATTGAATTAAGAGTTTCTAAAGTGTTGGCAGAAGTGTAAGTTGGATAGAAGTTGTAATATAATGTAACATAATTGTCACTAAGTATACGTGGTGTCATAGCATCACTGTTAGAAATAAATACTTGTACTAGCACTTTATTATATTACCAATTTTAATGTTTTTACAATTCACAACATGCAATGAGTATTTTGAATAAATGAGAGTTAATATACCTCTCAAAACCTAACCTATTTGAGGGACTAAGTAATATTATAATACTGTATGAACATGCAAAAGCTTCCAACCAGCAAACATTTTTTCCTTTTTTACCCCATATACCACCAGGCTCACAGCTGAACTCAACTTTCCTGACACTTAAAAAAAATTTAATATTTGCATTCACAGCTGTTCACAACAGATTTTTTCAGAAAACAAAGTATATGTCTGTACATGTAAAAGGAAGTTTACTGCCAGGAAGAAGATTTATCCTCTTTTTCAATATCAGAGCTTGACAATTTTTTCTGTTGGAAAAAAGCTGATTTTTGCAGCAGCATTTCAATAATTTCTCTTTACTACGTATATAGTGTGGCAAGAAAGCAAAAATTAGATTTTAAATTATGTTGTGTGCAATTTCTTGAAAATATGAGTAGTTTTCATGTAATCTTTGAAGTGCAATCAAATGCTTGAAGAATTAAAAATAATTTTTCAATAAAAACAATTGTTTGGTTTGTGTTGATCTTAGCAAGGAAAAAAGCTAAACCACATATCAGGTACTGTTCTTACAGTCATAATTTGCAGTAAGTGACCAGTGATAGATATTGTTGATTACATTATGAAAATCCCATGTGAATTGGGTGCAATCCCATGTGCGATTACTTTAATATTGTTAGGATAGGTGCAAGATAATATTACCTAATAGTTACTAAGAACATGAGAAAGTATGAGTTGCTGTAACACTACTCGGTTTGTTCCTTTCTTTCAAGTTTTCTTTTTGAAAATAAGTCTACCTGTGAAGAATGTAGTGTTTGCACTCGTTTAAAGTATATACCAATTTTTTAATACGTTGTTTAAACCTTAATGGTCCTTTCTGGCTCTTGTGTGCAGAAAACTGAACAACGCTGCAGTGTAAATTTGGTAACATAGCTTCTTGAATTTCATGCGATTGTGTGAACTTTGTTTCAGGGAAAAAAATGATTTATATTCTCTTTAAAAACACAGTATTGTGCACCAATAAAGAGTGAGAATAACAAAGCGGCAAATATTAGTTCGGGTATACAAGAGCTGGTGATGTTTGATTTGCACGAGACAAAAACAATTCTTTTCAAAGCATAGAAGAGTTGGACATATAGGACCAAAGTAACAATTCGGAAAACGATATATTTATAATACTTCAGAGAAGGATCCCTCCACCGCACGCTCTCCATAAAACGGATGATCATTGATGACACTTCAGTGGGTGGTGGTCACGAATCATCAAATATAAGCACTACATCTCATTATCCTGTCATAAAACATTCATCGTTCGTATCACAAAAAAACCCACCACCAACAACAACAATTTTTAAAGTAGTAATCTCATCTCACCCAATTTTAATTTTTCTTGTTTTGTGCACTACATGTTAATCAGATGCAGATATTGCATTGCTCAAATAACTGCTCAAACTCTGAGCACTCGGTCCATCTCTGAGTGAACTCTCAACAGGCGAGCAAATGCTCAGAATTGGTATGAATAAAGTTGTGTTTACTCTCTAGAGTGAGCAGTTGCTCCAAAATGTCAGAGAGACCTTAGTAGCAGACTCACGTTTGAAAAGTAAGGTTAAATTGGCCAATTTTGTCCCCGTGTGTTGATATGCAGATGCAGTGTACTAAAAAAATTACAAGATAAGGCAAAATTCTCCTGTTGTAGACTATTAGAATCATTACAGATTTGAAAAAGACAATGTATGATTGGTATGATTTTTATCGGTGTTTGCTTTCAGGCACATGTTCATATTGAATATCTTCTATGTTAATAGGCCATCGCTTTTTTCTACTTCGAATTTTTCAGGGTACTGTTTTTTCAAATTTTGCAATGTTTCGTTTCAGCCACAGCGTACCTCCGGAAGCTAGCTCTTTTCAAAAATTATTTTATATTCGCTTAGCATATCAGCAAAAACTAGCTGGGCCTCTGGCACCTGTTTTTCATTACTGCTACTCATATTCGAATTTAAAGAACGAGACAACACAACATTGCTCTTTATTCCTCACAAATGTGCGTGACGTATGTAACCTCTTTTTACTCAAGAAACCAATTTTTAAAACTCTTAGCCTGCATTATCACTTGTTCACAAAGAGCAAATGCTCGTGTGACATGAGTAAGTTCTGCAGAGACATACAAAGTTTTATTCATACGAAATGGAGCTTCTGCTCAGTGCCGTGGAGTAGATTCACATTGCTCCAGAGCAAGTGCTCATTTTTATTCATATGACCTAATATTTGCTTTCAAAATAAACACAAGAAGCAGAAATTATAAGAAAGAAAACTAACAAGACAAAATGTCAATTATTTAAAATATTTGGACCACAAAGCATCCTGTGAACATGAAAAGTGCAAGAAAAGAATAGATGCAAATCACATTCATTCTTTGTATAGATTGTGTAAAAACCGATTACTGAACTTTACACATACATTCTCCAATTAACATTTACCATGGACTAATGTTTATACATTTCTTTTGCAATATGTGAAGGAAAAAAACAATATTTTCTTATGCTCCAACAAATGGTTGAACAATTTTACAAATGTATATTAAAAATTTGAAATAAAAAAGGTCTCAATAAATGAAAATAAGGATACAGTTGCATAAATACCGAATTACATGATTACATGGTTAGAAGACCTCTATGGAATGGAAATTTCCCCCAAGCTACCGGTAATGTTTTTACACAAGACGCAACCTCTCCCATTTTAATTATGGACAATCAGATCACTATTATTCTTAAATGAAGGTTTTAAAGAAGTGTTAAAAATAGTTTTTATTTTACTTTACACAATGCTTCAAATTTTAACTTTCAATCTTCATTTAAATAACATGTATATTTTAAAAAAATCTTAATTTACAAACAATAGTGATCTGATTATCTGTAATTCAAGGACTAACATATTCTGGGAGCAAACAATTTTTTTTCTTATTTTTACTTTCTCACATTTACTTCATAAGAAGATAAACTATAGTAATCATGTGCCAGAAAAATGGCGAATTTTGGCACAAAAACTCTTTTTGCCAATGAAAAAGCAGATAAATATTCCTATAGACAGAAAATTACTTCCTCTAACAAGTGGTGTACTCAGAATCGATGTCATGTGGATCTTTTTGATACTACAAAACCGACTGTCAGCAAAACGTCTGTCTGTAAGAACCATTTAACAGTTTACAATAATCCCACATCTTATTCACTATTTTGATCCACACACAGATATTCTTCATGTGCATTACACACCACTTTGTACCATTTGCAACAGTAGGCATTTGATTTCTTGACCTTCTGTCTTGGGCACAATGTATATCACACTGGCTTTGTCCTGTGTTGTTTGTAGTTCCTTCTCTTTTGTAATTCGACACAATTTTACAACCATTGAAGTCAGTCCTGGGACAAATATTCTGAATTAATTCTTTTATGAATTTCTGATTTTACCACATCCACTCTCACCTCATGTAAAGATCTTACATGTCCAACTTCATGACAGGGTTCATTAGATGAAAATGTTATTTGTGCATTTACTCCAGGAATTATCTAGATGTGAAAACGAAGGAAGTGGCCATTGTCTACATCTTCTTGAGGTGGAATAAGAGGCACACATTTCATCCATTGTGTCACTCCAGCCTTAATCATCTTGTACATAGGGATAATCTCTGGTTTCCTCTCAACACCGATAGATCTATTATAGCATCACAGTGCATTGATGGCAGGAGAATTACATTATTTTTCCAGTACTGGAACAAAGACTATGACGACATTATGCAAATAAGCACCTGTTTATTTCTTTTCTGTACAGAAATTAGTTCAGGTGGCAGCTCATTGCTTTTACGAAGGGTTCCAACAATTGTGCGTTGTTTTGTAAGCAATTTTTTGTATGCAATCTACAACACGAAGATAGCAGAACTAATTATCTGTTGACACATTTTTCCCACTTCTGTAGGTCAAAAAAGCCACTTTCCAACTTCTGTGGGAGAATAGAAAACTTTGAAGTGCCCTCCAAGTTCTTTACCCAAATATATGTCCACTGATTTTGTGTACCATGTTCTTGCATCACATATGGTGAATATTTTCACACTGTTTACTGCACTGACTTGCTTGGCATATTCACCTGATAACTATGCACATCCGCCGCTGACACCAATTGCTCATCTATTGTTGTTTATTTGGAAAGAGAATAATCCTTTTCACAATTCTGTACAGATAACTCAAAGCTTTCTCTACATGGAGCCAGACTGTAGAGTTCTTTTCTAGGTTATTTTTAATGTCACTAAACTGTAAACAATATATTAGGAAAAGAAACAGCTATAAGTTCATGGAATATTTCAATACCAAAACTATTTTTGGTGCAGAGGTTTTTTAGATTTTGATGCTCCGACTGGAAGAATCCTGCTAATTTTAGAAGTCTGATGATGGATTTTATTTAATCTTCATTTGTTGTTTTCACTTCAGTTTGTCTTTAACAATTTCTTGCAATGTACACTATTGAAATAATGGTGGAAGTTGTTATATGTTATACCATATTTAAACAAACATTCTAGAGGTGATTTAGCAACTTTAGTAGCGGATTTCATGCTAGGAAGATGCCTGGCAGTGTTTCTTTTCCTTGTTCTAATACTTTGTTGAGGACATTTGTTCCATTGCTTTTGTTGATTTTTTCCAATGTAAATGTTATTCACATTTGACGCACTTCAGAAAGGCATACGAATTTCACAATCTTCATCCCTTTCACAGTTACTTTAGTGAACGTGTTCCTCACAATTATTTAGTTCATCAGAATTAAATGAATCAATATCATCACTATCAGTCTTTATTTCTTCAATTTTCTAATTCTATTGACTTCTAACTCATAACACATTTCAGCACTATTTTAAACAGCCAGAGTGAAAGCAAGCTTACACTCACTGTCGCCGATTGTTACAGAATTGATACCTTCAATTAATATTGACGGAAACTTCTACATGCTGAAGGAGGCACATGTGGCAGATCTTTCCCAAACGGTTGTGAGGATTCCACGAGTTGCCCCATCACAAACAATGAATTATATTTTAAGCACATTAACATGTACTGTGGATTTTCTTTTCTTGGAAGGCAGGTAAATAAACTGTTGAAAAGTACTCTAAATTCGAGAAGGCTAGGACAATATTTTATTAGACAGTTACCAGAAATATCGTAAGTATGCTTATACACACCACATGTCTCAAGGGTTAATAATGGGAAAATATGTTTATTGATCTCAAATACCACTCTTTTTAGATGGCCCCAAAGCTGATGGCCACCAGCAAATTTTGTGATTATTATTTATATTACTATATAATAAATCTATATTTACTCATTGTAAAATGCACATAAGACTTAATAAGTGGATGTGATTCATTTGTTTCACAATCTGAGGCGACAACACTGCAATTGCAAAACCTTCTGAATCCTTGTTGCTTAGGTCATGGCATTGATGTTACCATGTGATAAAGAACTGTCAACCACTTTCTTATTTTGTTTGTAGCAAGTGTTTTCATAAAAGCACACTTACAGCAAGGGGGCTTCTCGTCTCCGAGAACAAAGTTTCCAGACTTTATGACTATTTAAAGAAAATATTAAAACAAGCCTGAAACTAATGCCAGATTTGACATCATAAAGTACAAATAAAAAACTCAACAAATAGAAACTGAGCAAAATATAATGCTGTACTATTTTTTATGAACAATATCTAGGTTTATAATGGTCCCCAAATGTTCCCTGATTTCTAACGATTCTTCCACAAATTTTAACTTTTCCAGAGCAATGAAATTCCATGATTTTTCAGTTTTTCAGAAAGTGACCACTCTGTATAAATGAGTGTAAATTAAAAAATGATATTTTGTGAATTATTGAATGCACAGGATTTCTGAAATTGTGTCTACAGGGAGCGATCACTTCTTCTGTACTCAACTGCCCCCTTGTACAAAACTGGTTATGCCACATCCTTTCATTCGAAATGACAAGGAGCAAGACCAAAAATAAGTACATAATATTAATCAGAAACATTTTTGGTTAATAAGATTATGTTGAAGAGTATTCATTTACATATTTTGTAATCTTTCCATTACGAAATGGAAAATGGCGTGAAAATGTGTATCTTTGAAGTACAATTTTGCTTGCTAAGATTTGTAACTTTACAATTACAGGAGTATTGAAAGGGAAATACCCTGGCCAGCTTCTGTACGAGTGTGTATACTGACCATGATTAAATTAAAACTTCAAATCAAATTATTAAAGCTCCTTGTAAACTATCACGTTACTTATTACCACTTATTTTACCGAACATGTCACATTTTTTATTTAATGTACATCCTTTCATTTCAATGATCAGTCACTTCTGATAGAGAACTGTTGAAATCCTGACATTTTTCCACAGACCACTGATGGACCATGGACCATAGAACAGGAGTCACAGCTCTTTTAAAAATATTGGACCTGATGATTCAAACGATGCACATGATGCTGGGGCAAAATGGAGCCACTATGAGTATCCAGCATACAATGAAAAGAAAATGAATAATGTAAATTCAAAATTAAAATATATTTTTTCAAATGTTAATGGCCAGAAGAAATCTAAAAACTTTCAAAAATGTATCTCTGAATAATATGTAGGGTCAAGTTATAAATGTCATATACTTTTGTGAGAATATGTATTTAAGTAAGAGTGTGAGTATGTGATTTTTCTTTATAGATAGATCGATAGAAATAAATTATTAAACTGTACATTTTAAGAGGAAATTAACGATTTTCTAAAATTTTCTTACATTTTTCTACTAATTAATTCATGGTAATTTCTAGAGGTCTCATTAGAATTTTTTTCTCAAAATCAGCCAATTCTCTTTCACTGATAAGAGTGTTCATAAAAATGAGAATTAATTTACAAGAAAATGTGTATTAATTAAATGGATTTTTTGGTCAAAATTTGGTGAGTCAACATAACAATCAAGATCTATTCTTTTCTGATAATTCACTGTATTGCAACACTATTTCAAATTTCAAGGCCTCAAAATTACATGGAACTTTAAATGCACATTGTGTCAGAGCATTATGTTCACTTCAACGCAGTAAAAGTTTTGTTTCCCTTGCCTTCCAAAATCCTGTGTTCTATCAAGTTCCAAAATGTGTTGATAAAAAACTTGTAATGCCTGATGATGAGCAACCTGATATAAAATTAACTTCTTATCCATTGACAGTGTAAAACAAGAGGAAAGAGGTTTACATTCCTTTCTTTTTTTGAAAAATAAAAAAATAAAAAAGCTCAGTCGTAATTCTAAATGAATAACTTCATTAGCTACTACCAAACTAGTAAGGTCAGTATCTTATTTTTACAATTCTCAAAACTGTTCCTCATTCCCTACCTGTCCTTTCAGTATTGACATCCCGCCCCCTCTTACTGTGCAAAATTCTATGATGTCAAAGTGACGGGAAACTAAACTGCCGATAGTTCTAAAAGTTTTTCCATTAATCCTCAATTTATGAACATATTCGAGCAAGGAAAAAAGAGTTTTTTTTAGGATTTAACAACATTGTCATCATTAATTGAAAATGTTGCAAAACATACCTTTTTGAATAATGTTGTTGATTTTACATCAGCAGAAGTAGGGGTTGGAGATGACGCACCAGTTGAATTATTGCTCAAGTTGTTCAAAATGCTAGTTTGCTTACTGCTACTGTTCATTAATTTTGGACCATTACCATCAGTTTTCTTCTCTATAATTTTTCCTATTAAATTCAAATGATGTCAATAACTCCAGATGTTACACATTAACACATTATTGAACCATAGTACAACTAAAATAGGATTTGTATGATATCATTAAGACACATAATACCTTTCGAATTCTTTTTTCACATTTAATTGAGGCCAAAACATTCAGCAGGACAATTGTAACTACACTGAGTGTTAAATTATCAAGTATTGATTATATCATAAGACAAAATCTTCCTTATTCCATTTGCCATAAAATAAAATAATTTTTTGAATACTTGAGGATATTTGTGGAATTAAAAGGTTCTATATGGAATAATAACCACATAAATGAAAAAAAATACTAACCTATTGAATCTAAATCAGAGTCAAGTTTTTTCCCCAAAATTTCATTTGTTGCAGGAACAACAGCTTCCCCATCATCAAAGTCATCGTCTTCATTAAACCACATTTCCTCTTCTTCCTCTAACTGTCTATGATCACGACGGTACCGGCTGTTCCGCAAAATGGATGGGACACTGCAAAGTGACAGAGTTTCAGGTCAAGCAGGGAAAAATGCAGCAACCATGCACCTAATTAAATGCAAATTACTTGCCTATCTAAAGCTGTTCTTTCTCGGTCCTTCAACTTGTCCTGATGTTGGTCATAACGCAGCTTCAATGCTTTGAATGTTTGCACATAATCAATGTCATCTAACACTTTGCCAAAGTTCTCTACAACATGAGAACAAAGTGATCGAATATCTTCCTGCAAAATGAAAATTGACAATCGTATAAAATACAAAGAAAAGTACAAAAACCAGGAATAAAATTTACAAGAGATTCATGAACATACCAATTTGATGAATTCGAACATTTCTAAAATAGCAGAATCCAGAAGATTATAACGGCCGTTATTTCTGACAAATGCATCTACTACAGGTGCAAAAAGATTTCCCTTAATGATGTACCTGTTATAGAATTCATCTTTTAAGGCAATTATTTTGCGCATAAACCTAAGGGCACCTATAAGAGAAAACACCATCAATAATTCTGAAATGTAACTATTTCAAATCAAGCACAGAAAGAATACATCCATTTTCTAGTTCTTTAATACTTACACAATACCAAAAATGTATGTGTAGATTTCATAAGAACCAGAATTCGCCTCAATAAATCTTTGTTCAGAATGCAGTTCTTTATATGATAGGTATGATGCTCAACACAGAAGGACAATAATTCCAATATAAGCCCCAAGAGCTGCACTGTTTGGTAATCTTCTTTAGCAGGACGATCTTCAACAGTATTTGCGAGAAGGGGAGCTGCAACGAAAATTCATCAATGATATTTGTTGTCTCTAAGAAAATAACTAGCCAGCTAAATTAACTTAAAAAAATCAATAGAAATATAACATACCTATCAGAACATGTACACTATATTTGTAAAAGTAGTTCAGAAAATCAGTTTTCTCTGATTTATTGACTGATGCTAACATGTTCTCTGGATCTAACAATATCCTCAAAATGCCCATTAGCTGAACTGCTCCACCAAGCTCTGGGTCAGTATCACAGATCATTTGCTCAATGACAACATTGATTAACATTTGATCCTGGAATCATAAAATCACACTTGAATTCTCCACATAGACTGAATAACTAATCTACTACATGCCACCAGCATTCAGAGTGCAACAAAATATATTCCTACACATTAGCACCTAGTCATTATTTTTAATATCAATTTATGTGAATTACTACCTCTTTACAAAGCCAATAACCACTCAAATTAATATAATACCAAACTAAAAATACAAAAACAAGTACTTCAACTGAAAACAACATTAACAACTCTTTTTGAAAAAAATATTTGTATGATAAATTCACTTAATTTAATTTACTAATACGTCAAGTACCCAAAAACCAAATAATAGTGATGATAAACTTTGTCCTATTACAGCTTATTGAAAATAGAAAAATTTTTGATGTATTGAAGCCTGAAATTTTAAACATACATTTTTAATTTTTGCCCTCCCCACAATTGAGCAAACAAACCTTATAACATCAGGTAATTTGAAGAGAAATAGAATAGAATTTCAGTTAAATGTTTTCTGAGATACCACCTAGTTAAAGAAGATGAATTTCCAATAAATTATTATTTTAACATGATTCGTAGATGTGAATTTCTCAAACATATTAAACTGATTTATTTGGTGCTAGTTTCCAGTAACTGAAAGAAAGACATGAGCTATTTCATTTTTTCTTATACGGGGAATCCCATTGAAGAAAGTTTACTTCTGTACATTGTTCTGGAGACTTGAAGCATGGGCATGATGGAAGTGAATGGCCCAGCACATTACCTACCACATCGTGTTGCCCTCAATATAAAGACACCTTTTCAGTTAAAGAATGCAAATAAGTGCATCAATGTACTCCTGCTGGTTTATATATACTGTTTCAGAACCCATTGATAATTAGCACTCCTTTCTTTTTTTTACGCAATTCAAAATTAAGAGGAAATAGGGGATAGAGAAATAACAAAATTCTTACAAAGAATTTCTTAAGTTGAGAAAGTAAAATGAAACACCAAAATATTGTCTCAAAAAGTTTGAGATCCATTCTGGTATGTCTAATACCAAAGAACATATTCCCCTTTTAACATCACAATGAAAACAAGAATACAATAGAACTGTAAATATCAACAAACAAAAGTATCATTAGGAACAAATAAAAGCGAAAATTTGTGATGTGGGAATATCACATCTTCCAAATATTCTAGAACTTGTTTGGATACTTAAGTTAGGCAAGGAATAATTTTTAATTAACAATATCACATGTTTTGAAGAGTAAAATTTCACAATATTTTTCTTTCAAAACACTGAGATTGCTCATTGAGGTGACAGAGCAACGTTAATATGAAGTTTACTAAATAACGTAGACTTGGTAATTTTCTTGAAACATTTACTTACTGTTTCAAAACATTATCACACAATTGCCATATGTAAATATGTTTCAGGAAAATTAGTCGATATAAAGTCATCGACTGTAACTGTCTCATTCAGGTACTACATGATATTAAATTTGTATGAATCCATAGCATTTAAAATAAGCCATTGATTTAAGAAGGGTTTAAACAATAGTGAATCTCTTACATATACATAAATATACATAAAATTACAGTAACTAAAAATAATTATAAAATTTCATAATAGGCAAAGATTATCAAAAATATCATGGTTGATTGATTTTGAAATTAGTTTGAGCAATGGCTTGAAAATAAAAATTGAAGTGGACATTTATAGAATTGATGGAGGTGAGACCAGTAGACTCCTATAATAAACATTTTTTTTTAAATTTTGAAAACATTAAAATGAACAATGAAATCACATGAAGCAACATGAATGTTAATAGCACAGAACAAGTACACAATGAATTCAACTTGGCAAATTTTCATTTTGCAAACAAATTTCTTTGGAATATAATTTGCAACACACTAGTATATGTGAGAAAATGCACATTCATTACCAACTAATGTCCTTTACCTATTTCCAAATACGTTTATGGTATGTGTTCTTCTTCAGAATAACAATGCACGTGCATTAATTTGTTGCTTTCTTTGCTGACATTGACAAAACTCATAAAAATGCACTGAAGCAACATTAGCATTACTTCGTTGTGGCAAATTGTACAAATACAATATTAACAACCAGCAAATTACCTAGCTACACTACTAAAAATAAAATCTCAGGACACCCACCAAATTTGGAAAACAATATATAACAAAAAATCAGTTCCAAAGATTCGCAACATGCTATTGTTGAAAGTGAAAGTTGAGAGTGAAAATAAATATATCTACTAAATGCAACATTCTCCAAAATATTTCTCAGTGAAAGTAGAAAATACACCAATAGTTGCCTACTGGTTTCCACATGCACTTTCAAATGTAACAACTGAATAGCTGAGTGGAAAGATGAAAAGTAGTTCTCCAATGTTAAGAAAATAAAATATCTGTTATTATTATGCTTAAATAGCAATGAAAAGTTCAGAATTAAACAATTACAGTATCACCAAGTTATAAGCTGACATTCCCAGTTCCAATCATGACTCACTCTAAAATTTATGTACGAGTAGAACCAGGATTGGTATGTAAATGTATATTCGTTTGGCTAATTGTTACTTGGAGCTACAACAGCACATATTTTCTCACATCACTTATAACGGGACTAGAATATTATACACTGGAGCCAAAAACCTGGTACAGCCATGCGCATTGAAATAAAGAGATTTGGAACCAATCAGAATATGGTGCTCCTGTTGGCAATGACTATAGAAGACAACCAGAGTCTGGCAGAGTTGTTATAACTGTTACTGCCGCTACAATGGCAGGTTATCACATTTTAAGTGAGTTTGAATGTGGTGTTATAGTAGGCACCAGACAGCTGGGGCATAGCATTTCCAAGGTTACGATGAAATTTGCATTTTCCCATATGACCATTTAAAGTGTACTGTAATTATTGGTGATCCAGTAAAACATCAAACCTCCAGCATTACTGCGGCTGCAAAAAAATTTGTGCAAGACCGGGACCAATTACGACTGAGGAAAATCATTACGTAACAGAAGTGCAACCCTTTTGCAAATTGCTGCAGATTTCAATGCTGGGCCATCAACAAGTGTCAGTGTATAAACCAAAAAATTATCAATATGGGGTTTTGGAATCGAAGGCCCACTTGGGTACCCTTGATGACTGCACGGCACAAAGCTTTACGCTTTGCCTGGGCCCGTCAACACTGACATTGGACTGTTGGTGCGAATTTTGGAGAAAATAGGCTGGTTTAGAAACTAATGTTGACCACAAATGATCAGACAGTTATGCTGTCCATCAATTATTGGTATCGGTATCAAGGACCCACAAAACATGGATTCTGACTACACATTGTGTTAAGAGAAAATTAATTACTATAAATAGGAACAAGTTTTATTCATATTCTCATTATCAGGACCCAACAATCAGGGTTTTTGTGTCAAAAATATGCAGGTTTCCAGTGCATGATTACAATTCTCTCGCTTCTTACAAAGGAAGGGTTACTAAGGCAGGCAGCAGTAGCGAAAATGCCCCAAGAGAAAGTAGAGTATTTAAAAAAAACAACAGAAATTCATTTGAAGTAAAAAGAATAATTATACTTAATTATTACCCTCCTTGGGATTAAGGAGCAACATGATTCAGTTTCCACAATTAAAAACACACCCTGTTATTGATGGTTTTAAAATGAGTAAACACAAGTTACTTTTGTAAGAATAGCATTACATTATTTTTTAGCACGTATTCATGGAAACAGGTATACACTCTTGGAATCATTCTCAATATGTGAGGTAGCAGCAATGTTGATCCATATTGTCTCAGAGTTTTGTTTTACTTTGCAGTTCTGAAATGTTTTTTATTGCCATGAGTTCTCTGTGGTAAAGATACAGCAAATTTTAGTTTGCTGAACATGTACGGCAAAACAACACTTTTCAATCAATAAATAGTAAAGGTGAGTACTAGTTTCAATGCACATGTGCTGAGAAAGAATTGTAAGCAGCAAAGACAACTGAATCAATTCTACAATTTTATACAATTATGGCACTCCCAAGTTCTGTTTAGAGCAAACTGCTGAACCATGGCAACCCAACAAAAGAAATACAAACAGCTGCAATAAAAGATACAAACTGGGAGTTTAAAAAGCACATTGAAGGAAATCAAGAATTATAAGACAAAATGGTTCTTACATGTGAAAAGAACGGTTTTCATATGGCCCCAGAAGTGATGGAGGACCAAAATCTAAAATTTGGGAGATAAAATGGTCCAAAGACTAATCCTTACCAAAGATGACTTATTTTTGTGGACCTAAAAAATCATCTCTACAAATATGAAAATGTTTTCAAAACATTTGTTTTTCTATTAATGATTCAAATTTTTAAAACAGATTCAACACAATTCATCACTTTTGAAATGCTCTGCATTGCTTTCTAATAAAAAATTTTTTGTTTTACAGTGAATTTTAAACTGCATATGTTGAAGATTTTCGGTGAGTATCATGTAGCATATTTTAAGACATTCCGGGCTCTATGTATGACTTAAGTACTAAAAACATAAGAATTTTTTGCTTATTGTTTCCACTCAACTATTCATTTATGAAAATCCAACAGGTGCTCGCCAGTTTCTATAAAGCATGACATTTTGATTCATGACAGTATTTATGGCACAACACCCACTAATATACTGGTTATGTTTTCCATTCACTCTTGAGATATTTTCTGATTGCCTCTACTGTCAAACAGTCACTTTCCATTTTTGGAAACTGCCCCCCTCATGCATCCATTTAAACTGAATACCATTTGATTTTACATTTCAATAAATTCTATATGTTTACTTCATTTAAATTTTAATTTCTCAATACATCCTCTATAAAAGCTGTGTAATTTCTGAAATAGAATCTGCCAGCTTCAATTCAAGTTAGTTCACAAGTACAATTGACTGAGTTTAAGATGAAGGACTTTTCAATTATTCCATTGGCCTCCAAAAACAGAATTGAAGAGTGAACAGACTACTACTCATGCAGTCTTCACCATCCTAAAGTACCTTTGCAATTGCAAATGGTTACCAAGGCTCTTCATTGACCATGATCACAATACTGTCTCCAATTGGTCACTCAACAAATTACTGTAATTGTCAACATGCAAGTCATTTTCCCTTGGACATAGACATGGTATATCTAGGGTTATTTTATGCAAAGATTTTTTTACTGTGAACTTCAGATGACTTGTTTTTTTATATGTAAGAAAAAATCAGTAAATGAAGTATAGATACAATAGATTAGATCAATAATAAATCTTGCATGTTTAGAGTGGAATTAAACTTTGGGCAGTTTTCCACTGCTAGGATAGCTAGATTCACAGTTTCATCACTAATTATTAATTTAGAGTACAAAAGCATGTGCTTTCAATAATCTTATTGATTAAATATGACAAATGATAAAATATTTTTTTCTTAAAGACAATGAAAAGGATGTGTTCTTACAAGTCAATAAGTACAGTAATTTATGTGATGTAAACACATGCAAGCACAAAGAATACAAGTTTTAAAAAACATAAAAGAAATAGTAGTGGCTTCAACACTAGCAAAAATGGGAATTTTCACTTAGTACTACTTATCCTCCAATGTACCAACAGTGACTAATGAGACAAGTGAAGGACAATTTTGCATTGCAAAATTATACTGCACATGTGATCATACCTGTAAGGTCACACAGAACACCTGTGGAAGGACAGTAATATGTATTGTGTATTGTCACATAGGTACCCATTATACTTAAGTACGCCAAACTACCTTCTCCACAACATATAAATAAATCTGAATAAGTTATAATTGCAGATACCCACCTCATCTGTACTGTTTGTTTGCTGCAGAGTATAGTCTCGCACCACGGACGGAGAAAATTCCACAATGTAAGTGAGAATGTCAATTGATGCTGTTTTAGTTTGTGGGTCATCTGCTCCTAAAGTTATCTCCAATGAAGGCAAAATTCCTAAAGTTGAGAGGGTCTGGCAAAAGAAGAATATGATAAAAATTAATGTCAAATAATTCATGTGCTAAACTAATCACTTAAAAAGTATTCTTAGTTCTTATCATTTCGAACACAGGAAGTTCCAGGAGAAATTACTAAATTCATTTTGGGAGGTCACAACATTGGTCTTTCAAGACAAAAAAAACGTATGAACACATGCCCTATCCGAAAGGTTCCTGAAACATCTACAGTAATGGGTATGTCTTATTCTGAAGTGTGTCCAACACAGAACTCACGGTATGAAATACCTGCATTATTTTCTACTGTCAAAGGTGGCACAGTTTACCTACTACAAAACATTTTTGAAATTCTTCCATCAATATCAGGGAACTTTTCAGCTCTTGTGAGAACATGGTGTGTTACTTGACTGAGTTCAAGTTGACATTATTAGGTGAAAGAAGCTTCACGTGTAAAGTAGGAATGGAAGAAATTAGCAATTAACACATAACTAGGGATGACATTCTAGATTAGATGAAAAAGTCCCCTGGGAATAGATTTTGCCGATGCAGATATAAATCATCTTTGAGACATGCAGAAAGCCTTAAAGTGCTATTTGTACGGCTATGTTTTATTACTTCAACGATTTCCTATTCCTCCACATGGTAGTTCAGATGAAAGACAAGCACTGGGTATCTTAGCACACCCATGAAATGTCCTGAAGACTGGAAAACCCCACAGTCCAGAATTTTGTGCATAGAAAACCAACTGTATAAACAATATTCTTCTACTACAACAGTAACACTACCATCGTAAAAGCTGTACTCGCACAACACATTTGTATATTCTTCATTTACAAAGATAGGTGACATAACATTCTGATATTGTACCGATAATCATTAAGGTCAACTCACTTTCCAAAGAATACAATGCTTTAGAATCTGAAACAGTATGACAGGAGGAAAAGATATGATTGTGCATCCAATCCACAATATTGCCCAGAATACCTCAGAAACCTTTCAGAACAGAGGGTTTTTATGAATAGAAAACTTGTTAAGAATGTTATTTTGTTAAGAATGACCAATCCTGCAACATCCTTCCAAAATACTGACATGGAACACCCTGCATCACTGAGTGATGCAGACTTCAGCCATGCATGCTCAACTGTTTTAACTGGCCTGCACAAAGCACACATGCAACAATTCTTATAACTCCTCTACCAGAATAAATTTAAAACAATGGCTTCAGGTACAAAACCTGCACAATTAGCTGATACAATCATTTCCTTTGAAATATACATTCAATTTTTTTTTTATTTAAGGTGTTGTAGCAACTGACCTATATGTACTTATTATCCTTCTAGAAGGTCACGTTATAAGAACATGAATGTAAGGATTATTCCAACAACTTGGAATAACTTTATTCAACACTCAACATTTACGAAATAGATTTATAAAATATTTAAAAAATAATAAGACAAACATTTTTATTGGAACATAAAAAAATGAGCATGTGTACCTCTAAAATGTTCTAATAAGCTAACAATTATTTAACTTTTGCGGAACTCAATTGTGATGCTAATTTCATAATTATGTATATGTGACTTAACAGTTCCAGCATAAAACGAAAGTTTGTTTAATTGTGCATTTAATTTACATTCCTTATTACAAATTTACACACACACACACACACACACACATATAAATCCCAAATTGTCAATGAAAATCAATACCTTATAGAATGCCTCCTTTGCAGGCGGTTGCAAATTTTGGGAAAAACTGCAAAACTCCTTTAAAAACAGAACTAAATCCCGACGTTTAAGATCATCAGTGGCTTCATCTGTTAATAATGTGAACAGTTCGGTAAGAAACTTTTCATCCTCCTATAACAAACATTGGAATAACTGATGAAATGACTTTTGCTTTTACATTAGATGTCACTTAAGCCATATTGTTCCAATAACAAATGAATAGAAAATCCTGTTAACATCAAAAAACTTGAACAAACCTGGATAAGAGTAACAATTTCAACTTTGTTGAAAAATATGAAACTGGACAATGTAGAAAGCATGTTGTCTTCAAAAACTGATGGAGTAGGTAGGACAACATCCTGAATATATTGGACGCGATATGTCTGGTGAATTTTTGCTAGAAGCTCTGGATTTGTAATGGGAATGACTTCTTTATACCTTTAAAATATAAACATATATAATACATATCAACAAATCCAAACAAATGCACTGCAAATCATCCAAATATTCAAAATTACCAACCTTGCCAGTTGCTTCAAGTACTGTCTATGTCGTTTTGGAGCTGGAGATGTAGGGTCATATTCCAAACAACCCACCACATCAAATATTGTTTCCTCTACAAAAGGTTTTAATTCGCATATCAACATTTTAATACTATTAATAACTTATCAACTAAATAATATTGTCGCATACATGGATACAAACCTCCAAACATGACTTCAAATAATGCATTTTTATTAAGCATAAAAATATTTTTAAAGATTTCGTATAAGTAATGAAGCCCTTCAGTATTTTCTAAATCCTCACACATATGAAATAAATTTAGCAATTTTCTTATGTAACCTTCATTCTCAATTGCCAATGCTAATTTCTCTTTTCTGACTGGTGAACTCAGATTATTTGCCATCACCTGAAATAGAAAACAACAAATTAGAATTTCTTTGCACCACAAAAAAATTACAGTCCATAAATAATATTTACATACATGTCATTTTAATTTCTAACAATGATGAAATTCTCTAATTCCAGCATTCAGAGACCCTTGATTACTTACAGTAGACCACCAGGTTTGCCCATAGCCAGGCGCATGATACTCTAGATGAATCAGTAAAGCACATTTATATTGTTCACAAATAAACAAAAACATTATTACACAATTAACACAAAAATAATTTTAGATAATCAATCAATAAACATAATATTCTAACTTTTAGGACATGCAAGAATATTTTAAATAAATACAACTGAGTATCTCAAGGTATTCAATTTCGCTAAAGCTGAAGTGGAAAGTTTTTATGTATTTCCTAATTAATAATGCTATTTATAGTGACATTGAAATAGTTGTTCTCTGCTACATAAATCTGGAGCCAAAGTACATATGTCATCAATGAGAGCTGCATTCTGCTGTTTCATAAACTATAAAGAGACTCATAACAGTTATTAACACAAGACCTCAAGTTCAATTCGTATGACTCTACTCAAGGATTAAGTGTAATGTCAATTATATACATATAAGGAAATGTAATTAAGATAAAGACAATAAAAATATGTTTATTTTCACATGGGAGCTGCACTAAACTCAATGAAAAGAAATTTGCTGTTGGTACACAATGTTGTTATGAATGCACTACAATTATTGAAGTGACAAAACCTAAATAATTGGTTTTCCAAAAATCAAATGTGTTTAGCGACTTCTGGCCACACCCTCTCACCCACAAGCAAGACAAATAATTTCATTCAGTACCCAAGCCTAGTATCGTTTTAAACATGTGTGAACCATGCCAAATTTTATGCACTTCTGAATCCAAACCATCTAATTTGACATGTCTCTTCACTGATTTAACAAGACTTCTAAAGGACAAGCAAATATGAGATACTCCTTAAGTTTCAACGAAAATTGAGTCATGATAATTTGGATTTGTCCCATTTTGGAGATGGTTACTATGCAAACTGCATTACTGGCTGTATTTTATTTTAGAAAAGAAATTTTGTAAACTTCCCTTAAAAGTGTGAGAAATATGACCCATTAGCAGCCTGCATTACTACTTTTGTAACATTAATTGAAAATATTTAATTTAAGTATTCTCACGCAAGTGTGAAAGTACTGGCGTTTCACATTCTTTTGCTCTCTGAGTATAATTATTACAACACAATAACATTTAATCTTGGATGCATTTGTTGGTATATGGAGGAATGAAAATATTGTAAAGTATCCAAGAGTTGCCTATACACAATACAAAATCCACATCTTAGTTTGAGAAGTACCTTGTTTGTCAGCATCATGCTCTTGTATTGCACTTAAAAATCTGTCTGCACTCTCAGTTGTTCCTTTTCTCTTGCAATTTTGTCACTAAATGGGAATCTGAGAGAGTACCAAAGAAGTTTTTTTGGTTGCCACTAAATAGCAAGAAATACTTTGTTAAGAAATACTCTTCTTTATCAGTGTCAGAGATGGACTTTACAACCGCTGATCACCAGTTGTGGCGATTGTATTTGCGGCTTGTTTGAAAGACAAAAGTACAGTTTTGGATCTTCCTAAAATTGTATTGCCTTGCTCCCCTCCCAGAATCGCAGGATTCATTTAGTGTGTAATTATCTGACTATTTATTTGTTTTGGTTTCTATTGTCGATATTAGACTTCTGATTAAGCAGTTGTTTCTCATGTTTACTCATGCTTCCAAATCTACAGTACACAAAATAATTTTTAAGGTAACATTCTTTCTTCTTTTTTTCCCTCCCCCCATATTATAAGATCAAGAAAAAGATTGAAAGAATAAACTTTGCAATTTCTCCTATACTGAGAAAAATTGCGGATTACAGATGTGTTACAATGCTTTGAGAATATTTTGCAACAAAACCAATGACCAGCTAGTACATGAGGCATGTACATTTAATATATACTACTGTACAGCAGGGTTGGTAGAATTTTCCCCAACCCCCTCAAAAAACTTCAAGTCTATAAAAAAGAAAAGGTTTTAAAATTTTTTTCAAATTATTTCTAATATAATAACAATACTTGCATTAATTTTATGAATGAAACTTTTCATTGAAAACTAAATTTAATTACAACAACAACAACAAAACTAGTAAAAAAAACGTGTAAACTGAAATTTTTTTTGAAGTACAGGCTCCATTTTCCTTAAAAACTCTGATTTCATCACAACAAAAAAATTGAAAACAATTCAAGTACAAAATAAATTTACAATAAAACGGAAACTAGTTTTGCAACTCTGCTACACCAAAAAATTATATTTCCCTATAAATCCCCAATAAACCTACTGTTTTTAATACTGTTTTTTTAAACCCTGCTGTACATAGATGGTGGAGTTTTTATCTATACATTGGTTTGTTCCAATAACACTCCACTTACGTCAAAAATGTACAAAACACAAACACACATATTTAACTTTGCCAGCAGCAGTCAAAAGCCCAGCACAAAAAAATGGAATGGAAGTTGTATACAGTGCATAACAAAACTTATGAACACAGTATTGCTTTCACGATTGTTGAGAAAAGTGAGTGGCTCTTTTTACCGAAGCCATGTGATTATGGAACCCCTTTGCCCTCACATTCCTTCAATATTGGATGAAGTCCCGCTTTTGTTCAATACTGTCATCTTGGGCCAACAACGCACCTCAAACGAATTCAACACACACTGCTCGTGCACATGTGGTTCAACTTGGACCATTAGACCAGTCCTCACAATAAGTAGCAATCTGAAGGTTAATTAGATGAGACATAAGACTTTCTTTTTTTTTTTTTTAAATTTGCATTGACTAGCAAAATTTGTCCTAGTGATGAGTCTGGAGCATTAATTAGACAAAGTAAATCTAACAACAAAGGACATAGAGAGTATACGAATTTTGAGACCATTTAATACCAAGTTATGTAGTTTTTGCAATTCTAAAATTGCATGTGACACTGCATGTGAATGCATGCACTATCTATGCATGTGAAGATATCTCTACTCTTCTTCTACTCATGTTTACTAAGAAGACAGAAAACACCCTCAAAATGTGTGCTCATATTATTCATTTCCATTCATCCAAACATCAAATTTCCAATGACCTCCACCTCAATCATAAGTTTAACACGAAACATTTGAACAAGTTTTGGGGGCATTCTATTAAATAAATGAAGTTTAACATAATTTCCAAGACATGAGTAGTTCACCATTTTCTCTCATTATTTTGAAAAGAATAATCTATACTTTACATGTGTTGTTCCACAGGTAAATGTAAAAACGTTGACCAATTTACTTTGAAAATCCTTTAACCCTCGTTCCATACCTGGGGTCTTTTGGTATCCCTGGCATTATTTATTTTTCTGAATATTGTATATTTTTAGATATGCCTTCATGCATTTATTACACAGGTAATTAACAATTTCCACTTGATCCCCCTCCTTCATGAGCAAGAATGGATTTTTTTTTGTTATATGGGCTTGAAAGGACACTACATATAGTTTTTGGTATTTTCTAATCTTAATTACCTTGATTTGAACTCTGATAAATGTTTCTGCTACATCAGTAATACTTTTTTCAAGGACATTCACAAACTTTTTTTTGATATTTATAAAGCTGTCCTTATCAGAAATGTATGCTACATATGTGGCAAGGTTATTCTTTAAGAAAAGTATCTAGAATTCATTATATGAATTAAAATATTGTATATAAGCTGTCTTTATATAAAATCTTTTATTTACACATTTATTACCGTTTTCATTCATATTTACTACTCCCTGCTGTAATTAAAGCTTAGGGTTCGAAAAATACCGAAAAATGGAACAAGGGTTAATCAAACCAATAAATTCAATAGTCATTCTTTTACTTTACCTCATTCATCATTATCAATTGCAATGTTTAAAATAAAACAAGAAAGGGCTAGAACACTATTCTCAACTCCGTACCTCAAGATACGAGTTATACATAGAAATAGTGATACAAGGGAAAATAAAATTGTGGATTATTTAATACGAATGATCAATGAGGAAATGCTGAAACTACACATCAAAAAATTATCAACGAAGAATATAGCATTTTGTAAGTTTAAGAACCACAGTAAAGTAAAATAATCTGATCTCTAGTGTGATTTAAAAAGAAACACAACCAACAAATGAACATTTCTTCCTTGGAAATTGTCAATGTGCAATTTTTACAATGACCATATAGAATTTATATCAAGTAAATTCATCATCATTACATCAAGCACAGAAAAAAGTATTTGATAAAAAAAAGGCTGAAAACAAAATTAGGTAATCTATTACTCAAAATTCTAGAAACAAAACTAAACAATGGAACTTCATCAAATCATGTTTTTTTTGCTGTATTTCATTAAATTAATCGAGAGGGTTAATCATTAGAAACTTTCAATTCCACATTCAAAATCAATTACCAAAATAGATTAAATAAATGTACAAAAACATTTTTAAAATTAAGAAAGAGTTGATTATTTCACCAATCACGGTGGAAGTTCACAAATGCCCCTCACCTCACTTATTTCTTCAAGTCTACTTAATTCACAAGGCGGAAGCTCCACAGGAGGGGCAGAATCTGACATATCATCAAACCGCTCATCTTCAGATTCTTCTACTATGTCCTGGGTGATGTCAACTGAAGGGTCTTTGCCCAGAACCTGAAAATTTACATTTCCTTTCATTTTTCCAAATTTCTTGTATGCACACACCACAAGCATACATGCCCTTCAAGAAGGAAGTTTCTTATCACAAAATTCAAATGAAATATGATCCACCTGAACAAAATAATTTACAATAAATTCAGATTTTTTAAACAATAGCTTGTGATATGATTCTGTACATCCTTCAAGTTTGGAATCCCAAGGAATTATAGCATTTTCTACACAAAAGTCAACTAAGTACAAAACACAATTAAGATTATTATGTAGTACCAAATACTTTAGTTGAACTAATTTAAATAAAAATATCATTAAAACATTGAACATGTAGCAACAGCCTTTGTTTTAGCAATGAATATCTATAATAAACCTAGTACCTTAATTCAATGACAATTTTATTCTGAATTAAAAAAGGTAACCCTGTAAGATCCATTATTAATAATCTTAATACATTCAATTTACAACTTACCTTACTTCACTAATGTAATAATGTCTCATAATTCACCAAAGAGTTAACACAAGCAATTCAAATTCATTCAAAAACTTTCTGCACCCCCCTTCATTAACACCTAATTTAAACAATAAATCAAGGCAAATCTTGTCAGCACAATTGGTTTTAAAGAGCAATAATTAAGAATAATTACAACATATTAGAATCCAAAGAATGATTATAAGAAATCCTGAATAAAAGCAGTGCTTCTACATTATATATAATACACAACTGATGAGAATGTTAATATTAAAAAATAAATTTGAAGACTTGGTACCTGACAAATCTTCTCCCATATTTCATCACAACCGGCTTTTTCTTGAAAACTAAGAGCAAGGTCGAAGTTGTCCCCTTCAGACCATACAATTAGTGTTTCCTGCAAAATTAAGTGAAATTATTGAATGATTTAATTATATTCATCATAAAATTATAATAAAGGGAAACTTTGTCCCTTTTTAATGTACAATATAATAGAAACAAAATAAATAAAATGTACCAGAACAGCCATTAACATTTAACTCTACTAGATAATATGGTCACAAAATAAATAACAGAATTGAAAATAAAATGCCACTATTGTATTTTATTTAATGCTGGAAAACTTAAAATTACTTTTCTTCTGGTAACTCAAAATCTATGTCATTGTAAATATCTTTTTGCAACAGTCCAAGACCTCACTGCACAAGGTAAACAAAAGTCAATCAACTTTTGAAATATTGGCATTGGCATAGAATAGCACCATAATATAAATTCTGCATTCTATTGCCCGCTCTTGAAATGATAATTTCCTGAGCATTATTAAAAAATACTGAACTCTACTTCAAAGCACTTCAGATTACATCATATTTCATCTTTCCATACATACCTGCTGTTTTTGATATGCAGTGTCAGGCTGAATCTTGGACTCTAAAAGCAGAGAACCTGAAACACAGATTCAAATGCAATTAAGAATGTATGTGTATATATGCATGTGTGAGAATAAATGTATATGTATACATATTTAATCAGGTAAAACTCTCAACACAATTATATTACCATCAGATTCAGCTCTGACTAGCAATGAAATTCCTTTGAGTCTTTCTACATAAGAAGAAGAAACATGGCCTGTGCCTCTGTCATCCCACTGTCTCTCTGCATTCAATGCATAAAGTTTAACACGTCTTCTTGTGTCCGTCATTTCACCAGCCTTTCGTTTCACTTATGTGGACATCTACTTAACTGCTCCACACAACATCATCTGCACATACAATCATTAAAATATTACACAGATATTAGGAAAATACACAAATCATGGTTCATGAAACCAACTACAATAAAAAACTGAACAGTGTGGAACATATACATTATAAGCCATACAAGCCAAAAGAGGTTGACTTCAACTTAAAAAATTAAAATATTATATAACCAAAATTTATTTGGAAAATTTAAAAATCTCTAAATATTGAACAAATGCAAAAATTCAGACAAATACACAAACTCTAAAAACTGTTTTCACATGTTATTAATACCTCAAAGGTATCAAAATTGCAACCAAAAGGAATGTACAATGAAAATAAATATCATACATTCTAAAAATGGAAATTAAAAAATTGTTCTCACCATGAAACTTATAATTCAAATTCAGTACCTCCATGCAACTTTAAGTCATAAGTTCTTGCAAATAGAAAGGTGATAAAGCATTTCCACAAAATTCAATTGCACATATGAAACGATGACTTTTATATGAACTAGAATTTTCTTTCATAGCCGCGTAACAAAGTTCTTTTCAAAAATTCTTGCAGTTCTCACTAATTTCTTCCTTTTTAAGTAGGCATACGTTTCAATGTTTACTGTACTTGCCATTCAAACATGTTTTATAAGAAGTTCGCACAAGTAAGATTTTCATTAAATACAATATATTTAAAATTAAGTGGAATTACCCAGAATGTTCCTTGTGTAGATATAACATTAATTTCTCTTCCAGTAACAAAAAAGCATTATTGCTTCTGAAGGCAGTATTTTCTTTGAAACACTGATGTAACTATATTTCAGGAAGTAATTATGAAAATATAATATAATTAGCCACAGTAAATACTGTGATACCAAAGTCACCAATTAGCAAATTTACTGTTTTATTCACTGCTCTCGTTGATCCTTAGTTATTGTTGATTTGTTGAACAACGTCGATTGCTACTACTTCTTTACGAAAAGCTTAATAGCCCTCCCGTGGACTTCCCAATCGTGCTTCTAACAAATTAATGAATAAACGAGTCCAACACAAATTCACTTCAAATATATGAGGCGTAGTCGACAATATTTTAAAATAACACTATAAATTCTCTCAAAAATCAAAGGAATGTTACACTTTTTAATTTTGTTGCCGCCGTCACACGTTTGTTTCTTTCAGGCACAAGACAACAAGGAGCAGTATCTCCAACAAACTGTAAGACCAGAGATTCCAAATGGAGACATAGCTTAACAATCACCCCAAATGTAATTTCTATTCTCAGATAATGTATTCATCCAGTGTCTACTATTCTGCAACACGAAACTAACACTGTTGAGAGGTAATAGTTCTGCATCAAAAATGATTATGTACTCAGATATAAAACTTTACAGTATCATGGCCCCAACACAAGTCCACAGTTCACACCTGGTTGTCGAAACACAATACACATTGTAATACAACATTTCTGGATGGTTTACAATAACTCAAATTACCAACGTTCTCTCCCACATCAACACAACACAACTCGCCATATTGTATTGACAACAACGCGCTACGGGGTCTACAAAGAATAGGAGACGGATCCCCGCGCGATACAAATTGAACTGACTGCCGTCTAAAAAATACAGTAATGAAGATAAAGACTCAATATTTTATAAACCACTCCGTGTAATTTATCCTCCAGACACAATAAACATTTTAGAATATTGATCGTGAATATCAAAATAATAATTCTCACGTATCGTTGGATGCAAAAAGATGATAATTGCTTTTATTTCGACCAATAGTAAATATTACCGCATCATATATCATAGATCTAGTGTTCATTACATATTATTTCCCAATTATCTTAAATATCTAATCTTTCAACGTCCAAATAGAACAAAACGTGTCTGTGTATCGGTACACATTAAGAATTGTTTTATAAAAGGGCAACAGAAAAAATATTCTAGAAAATTTGTTTGTACAACTGTGCTAGTTAAATCGTACTATTAATTCTTGAGAAAAGTTCGGATTTAATACAGTTTCTAGCTACGATCCCGAATCGTCATACAAACAATATGACATTGTAAGTTTATCCAATACACCAAATTATGTAATATGCAATGAAATGAGGGATTATCAACATTTTAGTTGTTTTGTACTGTAGTTATGTTAATCAACCATAATGTCAGAAGCTTCGTAATAATATTACATTTTCTCTAATTCATGAAAAAATCAACATTATTTTTTACTAGTATTATTTTCATAATTGATTTTTATCTGGCTTCACCATGGGTTCTATTTCAGTAACAAATTAAACATAAAGATAAATCAAATTATAGACATTATAGTAACGAACAAACATATAGGTATAGTTAAACAAATATATAATAACAAACAACCATTCTAAATTGAGAACTTAATTGTCATGTTAAGGCACACCTTTTATTATCATTATTAATTTTTTATATCATGTTTATTTACAAAACTCTGTTCTTTCTTTGATATTGTGTATTAATGGACACACCTGGAACTATAAATCAACATACACTACCGCACATTGACATGTTAATTATGTTATTTTAATTTTTAATTCTGAATGTGCTGAAATGTGAAATTTTTATTTTTTTATTTTATTTTATTTCTTATAAATATTTTGGTCACAGAGTATTGGTCATTATCATTGCATGAATATTAGTGACATAGCTTAATTGTTAGCATGATATTTTAAATTACCGATCTCAGTCAGATATTTTATCTAGTTTTGCTCGATCCATTGAGAAAATGCTGGGATGGCCCCTTGTTAAGCTACTAGAGGGTAAATGTAGCTTTACTGCACATATTTTGTTAAGCTATCTCATTGTTAGTTGTGGGAGAAATAGGTCTGGAGAGGAGGAGGGTATTTTGTCAGTAAAAGCATAAAATCAAATCTGTAGTTCCATTGCTGATACAAATACATTTTCTATTACTCATGAGAAAATACTTCCTAATTTTTTAATGTTGCCAACCAAGCTTGTTGGCATCTTTATTGATAAATCAACTATAGAAAATAGAAGAGTGGGATAGGGATTCTTGAACTCAAGAAATCATGCTTAGATTATACTTCTCCACATGTCACATACTCTTTTCACTGCTTTTTGACAAAAGATAAATAAAAATATGAACTTGAATTGTGATGATTTATATTTATTTGTGTGCTATTGATTCACTGTAAAAATATATAAATAATTCTTCTGCTTTTTTTATTGCTGATTTTATTAGTAATTTAAATTTCCATTGATTTCTTGAGATCAAGAAAATTGCACTTATGGTGTAGCTAAATTCTTGAGAAGAAAACTCTAAATTATATTGAAAACATTTTATACACAACACTCATCATACTTATCATATGCATTGACTGCAGCAAATACACACGTATATGTATTTAAGTTTCTAGATGAGCCCCCAATGGAGAGCTTTAACAAATGCATGTTTTCATTTTATTTATGGTAAAGATATGGTAACAAATTGCTAATAACATATTCTCAAGTAAGCATAAGTGTTATGACACTTCTAAATTGATGATTGTTGAGTTCTTGATATAAAATTATTTTATCTTTTAATTTATTTAGTCTGTCTGTGTTGATCAACAGCATCTGTTCTGTGTTTGAATGTCAGTTTGAATACCCAATTAAGTATAAGAGTTTCAATCTTATAAATGTGCTGTGCAAAACATAACAATGAATACTATGATTAGAATTATTCATTTTATAATTGTCAGTGTTTCCCAATGTCACTCCTCTAATGTTCTGCCAGAGACATGGCTCCCACAAAAAATTCATGTATTGTATATTAATTAATTTATTCTAAATGGCCAGATTTATTCATTCATTCATTCATTTCAAATATCACATATATTTGTTTAGCTATAGTCAAGTTTTTTCCAAATTTCCTGTTTTTGAATTTGTAGTGGTCATACTTTTCTGAGAACAGATGTTACAAAATGGAAATATTAGGTCATTCAACTGCTACTAAATCAATTAGTGGTGCTACAACAGCATTCTCTCTCACATTATATTTAACTTTTGCAATTTCCTAAAATTCAAAGATTTCAACAAAATTGCGACATGCACCATCATTTTTTTCTACCCATTGAAAAAGTAAAGAAAAACTTTGAGAATTTTTTGAGAAAACATTTGTTTAAAAAAAATGCATTAACTTCAAGCAGAAATTACGCGAAAACTACTCGTTTTTTTAAAAATAATTGTGCATGACATTTTCTAAAGATCTGATTCTTTAGAATATATTTGATTTAAAACAAACATCTCTATCATCAATATTGTACTTTTGAAATTTTAACTTTTTGCAACTTTCGAAAATTCAGAGTTCGCCGAAAATACGACTAGCACATTTTTTTTACCGTCCTTTGATAAGTACTGTGAGGTGGAAAAATTAATCGTTTTTAAGAAAATAATTGTTTAAAACTTGACTATATTTCACGAAAAATTACGCGAAACTACTCATATAGTATTCAAAAAATTGTACATGGCCTTATTTCAAAAGATGTCTTTAAAGAACAGATTTCATTACAGAAAACTAGTGGCGCTAACTTTCTCGCCCCTAGTAATATTATAATACCGTAATTATAACCGCATTATTAATCAGCGAGGCGTTCTTAAAGCAACAATGAGCGATTCTTTTGGCATATATACTTGGCAAATTTTTTCTTATAAATTCTTGCCCAAAAAAGCTAATTTCCATGTGTATGCAGAACTTGTTTATGGGTTAGGGTAGCAATCACATAATGAAATAAAATGTGCACAGAATGCAATTTTACCCAAACTCAAGGGCGGGATTCAGGCGGACCGGCAAGAGCGGGCAACTGCCACCCCCCTCCCAAGCTTGAGTCATTTTTTTTCAAAATATATTTAGACATTTTATTTCGCGGATCTTTAAATTTATATTATAAAATATTTACTTTTTTCTGTATTTTGTGAATAAATTTAATAATAATTAAGCGAAAAATAATTTTATGAAGCTGAGCTGATAATTTAATTAATAAATTGGTGAACTTTAGTTCAGTATTATAAAACGTGCGGTATAAAGTTTAGCATTACTGAGAATATCCCATATTAAAAAATCTTCTTTCAACTATACTTTGCTTTTAAACGTTATTTAGGCCTACTTAGAAATTAAACAGTTTCGTGCTTACAATCATGAGTCGTAACTAGGGTCCAGATATTTATGATATGACATTTTTTCTTTGTGTTATTTCCATTGCTAATAAAAGTTAAGCATGATTTTATCTACAATGACTAAAATCATGCAATTTTTACGTGTCACATACAGTCACACTTTGGCTATTTTAAAAATCGTTTTGTCATTTTTAATTTATATTTCATATTATGGTCATTTCATGGATTTTCGTCAATTTTTTTTATAATTTTTATTCCCTTTTCGCATACTTGCTTGCAGTCGTCTCAAAGACGTTTTTAACATATCCTAATTCAAATGTTGTTGGTGGTGTTTTAAGGGGAGACCGAGCAGGAAATAAATTTCTCATTTCCTGTAAAACATTGGACAGAACTAATCACTCAACATATTGCTGCGACCTGAAGGAGTGAAGAAAGAAATGTTCTACTTCTAATCACTGATGCAGCCCCTTACAAGGGGAAAGCTGGCAAGGTTTCTAAAATGATAGTGACACGCATTGCACATGCACTAAATCGAGTTGGGGAAGAAATGCGTGGAAATTATCCTGATATAGATAAGTTAATTTCTGCAACGAAGAAAATATTCATCAAAGCTCCATTACAAGTTGAAAAATTCGAGGAAATGGTTCCTTTTATGCCATTGCCTCCCCAATCCATTATTACATGTTGGGGCACGTGGCTAACCGTTGCAATCTACTACTGTACCAATTAAAAAGCTATCAAAAATGTTAACGCAATCAGTGAAAGCGAAGCTGCCTCCATCAAAATCGTCAAGTCTCAGTTTTCAAGTACCACATTGGTCGGAGATCTCGCTTATATCAAAACAAAAACAAAGCAAAAAAAGTAGTTATATTTATGGTCATATTTTCATAAATTTTAGGCCATAAATGCTTGCATATTTTAAACATTTTAGGTAATAAACATCCGGGCTCTAGTCATAATGCTCAAAATTTCTCAAAAAGAATGAGTATTTCCTGTCTGTTTATTATAGACTGTAGATATAAATAAAATTATAAATTCTTTCGATGTTGCCATGATCGACGTCGACCCGAAGATTGTATATTCATTAAAAGAATTTATTAATGTCTATTTTAAAATATGTAACAGTTATGAATAAATATTTGTGATAATAATAAATGATAAACACTTTTGATATTTTGAAATGTGGTTCATTAAGAAAACTGCATCACTGAATGAACACTTCGGACCGTTTAAATAACAATAAGGATCGTCACCTTTGGGTTCAACTAATCTTATGAATAACATTCAATAATAATCACTTAAATAATGAACAAAATTGAAAATAATGTATATAATTGAAGCACAATTAACTCAAAGCATTAATATAAACGAATATTTTTATATTTATAATAGTGGCCAAATTCGTCCTCCCTATTGGGAGGGATCC